GGTCTCTTCCCACAGACACTTATGCAAATCGACACACGCTCTTAAGCACCTAATGTGTGCCAGGCCCTGCTGGAGGTTCTAGGTCCAGAGAAATCAAAGAGGCCCCAGGGCTCCCTGCTTTCCTGTATGTGGCAAAATATTCATAATATAAGGTTTATTATTTTAACCACTCATAAGTTTCCAATGCAGGGGCATTAAATACACTCTCAATGTTATATGACCATCACCACTATCTATTCCCAGAACTTTTTTATCATCTCCAAAAAAACTCTGCAGCCCTTAAAAAATAATTCCCCCTTCTTCCCCTCCCCCCCAACCCCTAGAAACCTCTATTCTAATCTCTGCCTCTAACTACATTTTAAAAAATTGTTGTGGTAAAATATCCTATATAATAAAAGCCTAATATGCAAATCAACCTAAAGAGAGAACGACCGGTCACTATGACACACACTGACCACGAGGGGACAGCCGCTCAACACAGGAGCTGCCCCCAGCCTGCAGGCTCCAGGCCGGCCAAGGTGGGTGCCAGCGGGGACCTCCCAATCGCCCCACTGGTTGACCCACAGATCGGCCCTGATTGCCTGACCAGGCCTAGGGACCCTGCCTGTGCATGAATTTTGTGTACCAGGTCTCTAGTATGACATAAAATTTAACATTTTAACCATTACTAAGTGTACAGTTTGGTGGCATTAGTACATTCACTTTGATGCGTTACCATCACCACAAGCCATCTCCAGAACCTCTTCATTTTTCTAAACTTAAACTTTGTACCTATTAAACTCCATTCCCACCCCCCTCCCCGCCCCCACCACTGGCTATTGGTGACCACCATAATACTTTCTGTCTCTATGAACTTGACTACTCAAAGTACCTCATATCAGTGCTGTCAGACAATATTTGTCCTTTTGTGATTGGCTTATGTCACTTAAGATAATGTCTTCAAAATCCACCTGTGTTGTGGTACAGCTCAGAATCTCTTGCTTTTAAGACTGGGTAATATTCCAGTGCCTGTGTACCACTTCATGGTTATCTATTTATTCATCTGCCATTGCACTCGCCACCTGTCTATTGCAAATAATGCTTCTGTGAACACGAGTATAATTCTCCCTGCCTTTGAGCTGCTTCTGGTCTAAGGTGGGGGATGACATGTGGATTCACCTGCAATTACCCTGGATAAGTTACCCTGGATAAGTTATCCTGGATGAGCCTGTTTCCTCATCTGTGAAATGGGCATAATGTTCCCATGGTAGGTATTAAATGGATTGCTGCACAACTTAGGGCAGCGCCAGCACACTATAAGCATTGATAATGCTGGCTCTGCCACAGCTGCTGCCACGTTAGGCCAGACGTGCCTGGGGAAGAAGGGACTAGAAGTCGGAGGGCAGCTTGAGTCTCTCACGAACATCCTGGCAAGCAGGCCTGAAGATCTCGATTTTCCCAATGAAGAAACAGACTTGGAGGAGTCCCTTGACTATGGATAATGGAGATGGGCCTGGAACCTTCTTACTCAAATCTAGAGAGCAGGGATGATGGAAAGGCGCACAGGAAAGCAGGCACCTCACACAAAAGCTCCCTCAGAGGTCTGTCGAGCAGGCATGGGAAGAGCAAGCACAGTTGCCAGGAATGGCCTTGGTGTTGGAGGGAAGAACTAAGAAGGCAGGGAGAGGAGAGGTGTTAATGTGGCCACAGAAGGCACAGCCTGAGCAAAATGCAAGAGGTGGGAGGTGCCGTGTCTACAGGAGGAATGGGAGGAGACCAATCTGTGGGAGCAAAGGGTACGTGCTGGAGGGTGGGGTCAGGTCAGGAGGGGACAGGGAGGCGGCCCCACCCAGTCTGGTTCCAGGGTCGGGAGGGCCCAGAGGAACTGCCCAAGGTGCTGTCTCGGAGACATTAGTCAGACGGATTGGACAGGGACGCCTGCCTCATGACAGATCCTTGCCTTCACCCCACAGGCGATATCTTTAAAATTATATGTGTTTCACCAACATCATGTACATAGTTCAAAACATCAGACAGGCCTAGAAGGCCCATTCCCCAGTCTCATTCCCCTCTCCCCCAACTCACTGCCCACAGGCAGCCACTGACCATGACTTTGTCGAATATTTAACTCCAAAACCTAAATAATATATCCCCACATCTCCTCCTGCTCCAGTTTGAGACATGCCCTGTTGGCTTGCTGGGACGAAGAGAAGGGTCCAGCTCCCTTCCTTGGTCGCTTCACCTTGTCCCCACCTCCCAGTCCAGTTACAACAGAAGCTGGGGTCAGAGTTAGTGTTTATGGTATTGTGACCCTGTCGATCACGGCTGACCCGTATCACATTGTGATTAAATGTCTGCCCCTGTACAACTTATTCCTTTTGCTGAAATAAAGATCTCGGTGTTTAATTCAGTATGCTACAGTTTCTGAGTACACTCGTCTGCCTTCTCTTCATGGGAATGTAAGTCTCCTCTCAGAAGCTCCAAGTTCACAGGTAATCAATCCACCTTTCATGCTTCTGGAGCTGACAGCATCCTAGTCTAATCCAGACACTTGCTCTCTGCCTGCTTCAGGATGTACCTGTGCCCAGCCCTGTTTCAATCAGGCCACCGATGCCAGACAAGCGTACAGTTCAGTGCATTCTGGCCCAATCATCATTCATCTACAAGTTCTATTAAAAATACCTACTGTGTGTCTTCTGGATCCCAAAGAGGTCCGATGTCAGAGGCTGGTAACAGAGATGAGTCAGATGTGGTCCCTGTTTCAAAGGGGTCTGAATCTGAGCCCAGTGGCCCCAGTGGCGTAGGAACAAGTAGGTGCTGGGCAGAGGAGCTCTAGGAGATGGGGGTGAGGTGCTTAAGAGAAGCCCTTAACTCAGCCTTTGGAAGGGCCAGCACAGAAGGCTTCCTGGAGGAGGTGAGGCTACACAAGCCTCAACTTGTCAGGAGGTGTTTTCTAAGAGATCTGGGAAGGGCATTCCGGGCTGAAGAGCATCATGTGCACAGTCATGGGGGCATGAGAAAGCGTGACTCACTCTGGGGATTTCAAATAAGTAATTAGTGATGATCGTGTGGGCGGGTTCCAATTGAGGGGGAGGCAGGGTCTTGTGTGCCAGGGGCCTGAGGGGAAATGGGGAGCCACAGGAAGATCTTACAAAGCAAAGACAGGATCAGGTCTGTATTTTTAAAAAGACAAGATGGTCACAGGGTGTCAGGTAGATTGGAGAGAGAGACAGGCTGGTGAGGGGATGTTGAAGTCTGGAAAAGGATGAAAAGGACCTGAGCTAACACTGGCACTGCAGGTGAGGCACGGGGCTCATGAGACCTTACAGAGGCCAAGGAGAATGAACATGGGGTCACGGGGAATGTGGAAAGGCTGACCAATAATTCATAGGGACCCAAGGGAAAAGATGTTTCCATTCAATGCATGTCTCCTGGGAAACCGGAAGCTTCTCTGGGCTGGGAAGGAGGGCATTGGCTTCCTGGTGTGTCCGGGGGGCCAGAGGCAAGAGAATGGATGCCCAGGGTCTGAGGGAGCAGGGCCAGAGCCTGGGGTTTTCGGCAATTAGAGGGCAGGGGCAAAATTAAAAAGCTAGGGAGTCAGAAGCTGGTAAGGGCATGTAGGGATGTGTGAGCAGGGATGATCAGGCAGAGAAGGGGGTACTTTTGAAGCATAGAGCCCTCCGTGTGCTAGAAGTCAGGGCTCACATTGTTCTGGAAACAGCACCAGACAAGGTGTTTCCAGCTGGAGGGCTGTGGACAGGAGATGGACGGGGAACCTGGTGGCAGCTCACAGTGGAGAACAGCGAAACGCCTCAATGCAACACCAGCAGATGCGGATGCCACGTGGGTTGCACACAGGAGCCTCCCCGCTTGGTAAATGTGGAAGTGGTCAGATCCCCTAGAGAGTTCAGGAGGCACGGAGGCCCAGCGGAGGGGAGGGGCATGGGTGGTACTGTGACCTGCACTGTAAGGATGAGTAAACAGACCAGAGGGGATGTGGGCAGGGAGGGCTGCAGTGGCTTCATGTAAAGGTAAACGTGTGTGTATAATCATACTTTACCGCTGCACGGGTATAAAGGCAAACACTTTAATGTTTACACACTAAACACTTTCTTTCACCTAAGCCTGGCGGCCATGACCTGTGTCCTTAACAAGCAAGTTGCCCTGGATCTGAGTTGCCAACTCTTTCGGCTCTTTGGGCCCTGCCGCCAGGACCTGGAATCTTCCTGGAATGGGTGGACGGTCCTGTCATCCTCCAGGGGATGAAGGGGTCCCTAAGGCCCTTTCAGCCGCGAGGTGCTGCGCCACCAAGGACTTCCCATCCCAGTCGCCCAGGGAGAGGGCCGATGGCTGTTTGAGTTTGGAACCAGCTGGTGTGACTGAGTGACAGGTAAAGGAGGGAGCGCTGCAAATGTCCCTGAGTTGCGGGGGAATCAAAGTTCTCTGTGTCTGCAGATGTCTGCGACTTTACTCCGGGTGCCACCTATCGCGTCCACCCAGCGGACTAGGCGTACTGTCTACCCCACCCTCTGGGAGGGTGCAGAGGCTGAGTCAGCCTCAGCTGCCCAGGATGCTGTATCAGGAGGAGAAACAGCACCGTCTGTCTGTCTGCCTGCCTGCCTGCCTGTCTGTCTGTCTGTTTGGGGTCCCGGGGAATCCTGCCTGGAGGTGGGAGAAGCGTGCAGTTCTTTCTTTGTGTGTCAGCCACTCATGTAGCCCGGAAGAATGGATGGAGCTTCGACAAGAGCAGTCCCTTCCTCAAGCTTTCCTTACAGATGCCTCACCGGCCTTCTCTTTTCTTCCTCCAGGGTAGAGGCAGGTAGGCCTGGTTTGTGAGTGCCAGGCCAGTCCTCCCACTTCCCCGCTTTGGCCACCGGATGTACCTGGGTAGGTAGGCAAGAGAGCACAGAGTACGCCAATCTGAGAAAAGCAAAAAAAAAATAGGTATAGCCTGGCTATCCCTTTAGGTCTCAATTTTTCCTCATCTTCAAATCACATTTCTCAAAGCCCCAGACTCCCTCCTACTTGGTATTTATAATGGACGAATGGATGGAGGAATGAATGAATGCTCAGCTTTTCCCAGTCTTAGAAGTCACTGATACTTCTGCCCTCCAATACTTGTGGTCAGGTGATAGAACCCAACTTCCTCTAAGACAGGAGGGAAACTGAAACTTGCAGGTTTGGAGAAAACTTACTGAGAAAGTTCCCACCTGATCACTTCTATCTTTTTTACGAAGACTGAGGGTTTGGTGGGAAGATGATGGATAAAGCTTGGAATCGCTATTGTACAGAAGGAGAGTGATCCAACTGGGGATGTGTAGATACCTTACATACATTACAAGGCAGTGCCACGGGCCCTGTGAATTTTGGTGGTGAGAGTAATAGCTAGTATTTCTGGAGCGATTATTATGGACCCGACACGGGGCCTGCGCTCTACTCACATGACCTTTCACCTTCTCGCCCACCGAGGGGGCAGGTACCTCAGTAGGAAGAGCCAGGTCATGCTGCAGAAAATTTTTTAAAAATGTCTAAGTGGCTTACAGACACAAATGTTTCTTTCTTGCTCTTGCTATTTGTCCCTCCATCCATGTGGCAGAAGAGGCAGGGCAAGAGTGAGAATCCCAGGAGGTCTGAGAGGCTGGGAAGAAAGGAGGGAGGGGTCCAGAGCCAGGAACTTAGGAGGAGGTCCAAGGCCAGCTTGGTGAAAGCTCTGGAGAGATAAGAGGGAGGGCTGGAGAGTGAGACACTGCGGTTTAAGATTTCATGGGTGGAGTAGAAGCCAGCCGAGATAAGAGCAAGGTGTGGCTCTGAGTGGGGTGACTGGCATGCAGTCAAGGTGAAGGTCCCTGGAACTGGGGAGGTCAAAGGTCTGACCGATGGAGCCATGTTTTCATTCCTCTGGGACAATGGGGGTTCATGTAAGGATATAACCAGCCTCCAGTTAAGTATTTTGCAACTTCCTGGGCTATACTTTTTGCCAGGAGATGAGCTTTGGAAATAAAGTGTGCTTTTTTAATAGTCAAACACACATATATAAAATGGAACACCTTGGAGAAAGGTGTCTGTATAAGCCCACTGCCCTCTATGCCACAGGAAGCTGGAGAAAGACCAGATGTAGAAGAGTCACTTAAAAGTCACAGATGACCACAACCAGGCGGATGGGGGTGCAAACATCCAATGGCCAGGGGGCTATTGGGAGTAGCACTGGGAGGCAAAAGAATAAACTTGATCCTGCCTTTTGGCCCTGAGGCATGGGGGCTATGGAAAAGCAAAAACCATCTCCACAGAGAGATTGAGGAATACAGGTTCCACTTATGGTCTGAGACAGAGGCACACAGAGCAGCCAGGTTTTAAGCAGAGCATCTTGGGTGCAACACAGTGTCTTGGGGTCTTAGAGGGCAGAGTGGGAAGAAGACACAGAAGCAGCAGCCATGGGCCAGGAGGGGTGCCAGTGTGATGTTTGGGAGGGAAGGGGTAAGGAATACATCCACTGTCTGAAGAGGGCTGTGAGGACAGAAGTACAGACACATCCTGGAGGTCTTCCTGAAGATGATGGTCACCTTCCTCTCTGGAAATCTCCCAGGGCCAGTGATGACAGACTAGATAGGAGCTGATGCATGAATAGAGGTTTGAGAGCTGAGGGTCCCCACGGAAGGGAGTGAGCCAGAGCCAGGTGTCAGCCTTGCAGAGCCAGCCTTTAAACCTTAAATTCAGGGGTCACCACATGACCAACTCTGCCTCCCGGAATAAACCATCCACCCCTCTCAGTCATGGCCTTTGTGTGATCGAGTAGTGCCACCTCCATCCCCAGCCGCAGTCTCTCTCTCTCGGCAGCGTGGGGTCTGGCTTCATTACGAGCTCTCGCGGTCAATTAGTCTTGATCACCTCTCTAATTGGGCACCAGCTGTGTTTTCTCTCGACAAGAACTCTTTTATGGGCCTTCTAAAATGCAGCACATGAAGAAGCGTAACCGTTTCAGGGGTATGTGATCATATAACCAGGAGCACTTGTTTTCCACAGAAACGAAGAGTGCATCTCTCTTTATGTTGAGAAGATATTCTTTTGGAAAGTTGGGAGGGAGGGCCTGGAACAGCAAGTCCTCGGTTTGTTTATGTTCTGGATGTGAACACGGACTGTGGTTTTAAACGAAGCTTTGCATAATCACAGGTATTGGTACATAAAGACGTGGGAAGTTTCCTGGAAGAAAAGGGAGACTTGAGAAACTGCACCATGAATGGCTCCATTTATGAGCAGCCACTAGTGATTGACAGAATGACTGTTAATAGCTAATATTAGGTGAGCCCTTCGTAGGGGCTTAACCCTGCACCAGGCACTTGGCATGGACTGTCTTGTTTAAACCTGGCAACAGTCTATAAATGGTATAAATGTTCTCCCCATTTTCACAGACCAGGAAACTGAGACCCAGAAAGGTGAAATAATTCATATTCAAGGTCACATGGCTCACCACTAAGTGGCTGAAATAGAACTGAAATATACCCAGGTCTGTCTCCTGCCAAAATGCCTTTCTGCCTCTCTCCAACTAAACAATGCAATGAACTTGCAGCACTCAAGTGCTCTGGTTGCAACAACTACAATATCAACAACAATGACCCTTATGATTTGTGAATTTCACAGTTACTATATTCTTTACTGTGACTTCTCATGGATGATAGCCCGTGAGAAACAAAGCAGTGGCTATATCCCCATTATCACAAATGTGGGACCCTAGGTTCTAAGGCACTAGATCATTTACCCAGACACACACCACCAGCAAAGAACAGAGTCATACCTTACTAATTCCTACTCCAAAGCCACCACGTCCTACCCCTCTCCCACTGTGGTACTTCCCCTTCAGTAAGTTGCGAGATATATATTTACATACATTCCAGCCATTCATTCATTTACTCATCCCTTCATGTACTCACTCAGTCATATCACATTTTTGTTTTCCCTGTCCTGATTTTTTATGTTTACTTAGTGCTCTTTGTCTCCCCTCTTTAAAATGTTAAGCTCCAAAGCCATTGATAATTTCCAGCCTCCAAAATAGTGCCTAGCACTGAAGTATTTATTGTTCAATTCATTCAAACAAATATGAATTCATTCCCTTAGTACATGTTTATTGAACATCTACTATGTGCCGGGCACAGTTAGGTCCTGGGAACAGGCATGATTTCCCACTTCCATGGAGCTTATATTCTAAGGCAGGAGAGGGCTTATACACAAGTAAATAATCCCTGATTGGGATTTGTGCCATGTGGGGACTAGGGGTGATTTGATAGAAAATGACAGTTACTCAGTTCTTGTCCAAAACCTGTTCACGTGCTAGTGGGGCCGACCATTCGGCCACCAGGCAGTTTCTATCTCATGGGAACAGTGGGGGTTTGAGACTCAGAGGCGGTGATCCTAGTCCTCAGGGCTGGGCTTGGGCAGGGGTGGGGGCAGGGAAGGCTTCCTCCATAGGCAGCACCTGAGTGGTTGTAGAGACAACAGGAGTTCTCTAGGAAAGGGGTGGGGAAGATTCCAGGCTCATGCAAGGACAGGTGGCAGGAGGCCAGTTGGCACAGAGTGAGGGGTGACGGAGCCGAGACTGAGAAGGGGGAAGAGAGGGAAGAGAAGAGGTGAGGGAGATGAGCATGGACCAGGTCCAAAAGTATCACGTTGTGATGGGTGGTTTTATGTGTCAGCTTGGCTAGACCATAGTTCCCAGCTATTCAGACACTAATCTCGGCGTTGCCGTGAAGGTATTCTGCAGATGTGGTTAACGTCCACAATCAGTTGACTTTAAGTAGGGATTATCTTCAGTTATCTGCATGGGCCTCATCCAAGCCCATGATAGGCCCTAAGAGCAAAGTGGAGATTTCCCTAAGGAAGAAGGAAACCTGCCTGGGACTCTGTGTCACTCCTGCCTAAAGACTGTCCGGCGCACCGGGCTGCCTACACTTTTGGAACTTGCTTAGCCAGACCCCACAATCACAGGAGCCGATTCCTTTAAATAAATCTCCCGACAGACAGATAGATAGAGAGACAGACATACAGAAAGATCCCTAGTCTCCTGTTGGTTCTCTTTCTCCAGTGACCCCTGGGGACTGACTCACATTTAACCAGCCAAGTTCTATGACCTCGTCCTTGAGGTCATAGAAGGGAGCCTGGAGGCGTTGAGCAAAGGAGCAGCATAACCAGCATTGTGCTTCTAAAACAGGGCTCTGGTCACAGCATGGAGAGGATCGGAGGGGCAAGACCGGGGGCAGGCAGACCAACTCAGAAGCAGTTGCCTGAACTATGGCAACAGAATGGGGGGACCAAATCAAGTGATATCACTAAGCAGAACTGACAGGACTTGGTGTCCCACTGCACATGCAGGGCGAGGAAGAGAGCTGTGAGGAGTCTCAGGTCGTGGGACGTCTTGGCAAAGGGGATGTAAATGCTGTGACAGCAGGAACTTGGTTCTGTTCCCTGCTGTCCACTTCACACCTAGAACAGGACCTTGTGCCTGAAGGTGCTCTCTGTACATGTACTGAATGAATGGCAGTGCGATTCTGAGACCGGATCATGGGGTGGGGTGAGGATGAGGAGCATGCAAGTGCAGTGTGGGGCCTGTGAGTCTGCTGGAGCTGGCAGCCAGCAGGAGGAGAAGCCGGGGGAAGCTGGAGAGGCGGTCTGTGTGCCAGGGGCAGTTCCAGGACAGAGCCCGAGCCTTTGACCAGAACACGGGGATTGTACCTGAGGCCAGGGGTCAGAGCACCTGAGGGTGTGTGGAGTGAGGAGGAAGGAGGTTGGATCTAAATCTTGAAGAAATTGCAGCATTTTAGGACTGGCACAGGGGAAGGACCCGCCAAAAGAGAGTGAGAAGGAATGAGAGGAGGAAAATGAAGAGGAAGCAGTGGCAAGAAGCGAGCAAGGAAAGGGTGCTCTTGCTGTTGTCGGGGTCTTGTCACTTAGACTTACGGTAAGGACCATATCAAGGACTGAGGGGGGTGGGGTGAAGCACACAGAGAGCCAAGTGCTGAGGAAGGCGTAGGAAGTGAGGGAGGGCAGCAGTGTCTCCAGTGGTCTCTCCCAACCTCCCTTCAAATACTGACCAGACATCACCAGTCCGTGCTATTAAAGAATGTGAAACCAAGGCACCAAGAGATGAAGTTGGTTAAAAGCCATCACCCGGGCAAAGGGCGCTGTGCTGTAAAGCACCAGCTGTTCAGACCACATACTACCTTCGGTGACTCAGCAGGGTGCTGGTTGTGCTGGGTGGGGCCCAGGCCCTGTCGGGCAGATGGCTGCAACATGCAGGGCAAGAGCTCCAGGGTGTGCGGGAACATTTTCTCAAGGGGAACCACCTTCCCTTGAAACAGTTTGTTCTGCTGAGTTGACAGGAGAGGAATGGGGACTCCTCAGTCCTGGGCCAGGTGCCAAACAGAGTGCAAAGACAGAAGGCGCTGGGAGGCCAGGGCTGGCTGTGACCCCCACCCCCACCCCCAAAGCTCTGCGTGGCCATCCCAGCCCCTCTGCCTTTTCAGGGGGCAGGAGGGAGGCTGCGTGTGCAGGATTGGTGTGTCTGTAACTAACTTGAATCAGCACTTACTGTGGGCCAGGCTCTGTAGTCATCATTTTTACATGGTTGAGCTTATTTAATCCCCACAACATTTTTTTGGAATGTATGATTGTTTTTACTTAGGGGTGAAAAATCGAAGGCCCAGAGAGGCTAAGTCTCCTGCCCAAAGCTTCACAGCTAGTTCTGCAGGTGGGACAGCAGAGATGCTTAACTCTTGAATCTGTGGGGTGGACGACTATCTAACCCTAGAGTGTAGGTTCAAATCATTGGTGGGCGTGGGGTAGAGGTCAGGCTTCTCTCCAGCTCTGGGATATAAGTTACATCATGGCCCTGAGACTCTGTCCTCATCTGTGAAATTGGAGGGCAAGGTTGCTCACTTCATAGGGCGATAATGAGGAGGAAAGAAAATGTTTACAAAGAGTTTCCCTGAGTGTCTGGCCCAGGGTACTTGCTCCATAAATACTGGCTCTGTTTCCCTTTCCTTTTCTTTTGGAGACATCTGTCTCGAACCTGTGGGTTAGATTAGGGCAAGAGCACTGGTCTCTGAATCAAACCCACTGGGGATCGAATGCTTCTCCTGATAACTATTAGTTATTTAATTTTAAGCAAGTCACTTTCCTTCCGGGAATGCAGTCTCCCCAATTACAAAATATGGGGTGACTTAGTCCAGAATGGCATTCAAGTTACCACAGTCCCTTCCATCCCTATACAGATACCACTCATTGATCATGACCTTCCTTTCTCTGAGAACCCTTCTTGGAATGAATGCCCTCTAGTTTGGCTGTAATTCCACCACTAGGCAATTACGCATGGGTTCAATTACCACACTTCAAGAACACACCTGCTGCAGTGCAAAGCCCTCTGATAGAGATAACAAATTAATCTTGGCATATGTTTGCATGTCTTGCCTGAACTCCAGATAGCACAGGTGAGTTTGTTGTTGTAGCGTTATGTCCTGGCTTTTGCTCTGTTTTAAATAGGGCAGAGGACAGATGAATAAGCCTGGGACAGAAGGTTTGTTTGTGTGCCTGGAAGACAGATAAAAGGGCAGTTACTGAGGAATTAACATTAACCCCTATACACAGACTAGAATATTGTGCCAAAATATGAACTGGCTAGATGGCTTGCCTGTGGTCACAGCTAGTGAATGGCAGAGCTGAGTCAAACCCACCCATGTCTGCCTCCAGAGCTGACAACTATGCCACAAATACGAAATCCATTCACTTAGTCAGAATTTATCATTGGATGCCTACTCTGCACCAGGCACTGTTTTCAGTGCTAAAACCTCAGCAGTGAACAAAATCCCCCAAATGGCTTGCCTCGGGGAGCTTACAGTCTAGGTTCCTGTGTATCAGGTGCTCTCTCCATGCCTAGTAGTTTGCCGGCTCTATAATCAGTGTCAACGCCAGGGCTCCTCTATGCAGAACATCCATGTGAACCTTAGCTCCATGGCTTCTTTTTTTAAAAAATCAAATCTTTATTGTTCAGATTATTACAGTTGTGCCTCTTTTTTCTCCCCATAGCTCCCCTCCATCTGGTTCCCACCCCGCGCTCTGCCCTTACCCACCCCACCACTGTCCTCATCCATAGGTGTACAATTTTTGTCCAGTCTCTTCCCGCACACCCCACACCCCTTTCCCCCCAAGAATTG